TAAAATAATTCCTTCTCTTTCATGCCCAGTAGCCCCTTGCATCTTAGTGACATTGTCACCTTGCTTGGGGAAAACTGATTAAAAAAAAAAAAAAAAATTTCATTCATCTTGGTTGGCCCAAGAACTTTTCAACACCTCCTGTAGTTTTATTTATTTTTATTTTTTTAATTTTTTTAATTTTTTTTACTAATGGTCACCCAATACACGGCCTAAGAGCCACTCAGGGTAGAGGGTTACTGTGTAGTGTTGTATGAGAATAAGAAATGGCAAGAAGTAGATTTCATTGAGCTCTGCAGGAAAGATAACGATTAACACTAGACCTGAAGAGTTCTAGAAAAAATACAAGCATATAATGATTGGGAAAACATGAGAATGAAAAGATTTTAGAAAGGTATGAATCCTTCTCTCTCTTCTCCTAGCTATGGGTTAAATAGTAGGAGTTATAAAAGAAAATCATTATTATTCTCAAAAAAATAAAATGAAACTGTTAATGCAATATTGTAACAAAAAAAAAGGGATTATTCTTACAGGTTTTAAATATCCCACAAGGTGTTGATAAGCCATAAAAACAAATCACTCAATACCTTCTCTTTTCCTCGTACAGATGATGGAATGCAACAGATTGATGTAGGCTTGACTGAAGATGAAATCTTTATGTGTGAACACAATGATGCACCACTTTTGGGACGTTATATTCCTGAATCAGCTAATTCTCAGGTAAGAATTCTGACTTAAATTTTGGGATGAAGGGTTATCATTATTTACGTTATTTACACTTGGACTATTGTTCACATGTTTGTCTTTATTATCATCATCTTTCGACCATTGTACTCTTGGGCCTTCTTCAGCCTGAAGTCCAAATGTAAATAAACATTCTGACTTAGCTATGAATATCTCAAACTTCTACTGTCCACACTTTCCCATGTGTGGTTCATGCAATGCTTATTTAGTGTGAAAAGTGAAATCACTGATCTGAGTTCAAATTTTGTTCAATTCTTTTTTTGTTCACTTCATTCTAATGCCCTTATGAATCTAACTCCCCCAACTTTTGGGTTAAATAGCAGAGCAGACTGGGCTCCCTTGCTTTGGTTAGCAACCAGTGTAGGAGAATCTGTTTGGATGACACACTGTACATAGTTTTTCTGTTATCAGTTCTTTTGAAAAGTGTTGCTGGTTCTACACTATAATCAAATCCCCTTTTTGGTTAGTGTACCTCCAAAAATTGCCTAAAAAAGAGCATACCATGATGAAAAAAAGCCTCAAACTTAATAAAAAATAAGTTTTATTGCCAAAATGTTTGTTATTATTAAGAAGAAAGACCAAAGGATTTTTTGATTATTTTATTAAATTTTTAAATTCTTTCTAGCACATTTGAAATTTTGGTTAAAAAAACTTTCTTTTACATCATCAGTTCGGTCAAAGACAAGTATGGGAAATTTAGCATCATTTTTGCAGTAAAAAACACATTGATTTGGAAATTCTTGCAAAAAGTAAATAAATGTTGGATTTTAATGACATTTTCAGAACTTATTTACAAATGAATGTTTTTTTTTTTTTTTTTTTTAGAAAATCTTGGTAAAAATATTTTTTTTATATCAGCTATTCCAATTTACTTAATCTTATGAAATTTCGAGAAATTAAAATTCTGCCCTCTTTGTATTTATAGTCATTAAAAGCAAGAGTCCTTGGAGAATCTGAGTTATCAATTTGTTTTTGCCAAACAGAAACACCACTGACTGAAAATCTGAACTGAATTGTAAAATAAAAAATGCAATAAAATTATGACATTATTTAATTAGAAAAGCATTTAATTGCTTTTATAAGATATATTAAAGACACTATTGGCTTAAGAAAAGAAAATTTCAATCAATAATGAATTTTTACAAGAATTGTTTTCATTTTAAAAAAATTTTAATTAGAATAATTTATTTTTAAAATTTGAAAATTCTGTATTAATTTCACCATTTTAGGTGATATTCTTAAATAAAAACTATATTTATTAATCATAAATGGAAAAGCTTAATACAATACTGTTGCCATATATTGTCTGGTGTCCCCCACTGTTCATCTCCAGGTTCTCGACAAAATCCAAAGATGGATATACAATGTGATATGTCCTGAATTGGGGTCTCAACTCCAGTCACTTTCTCCAACAGCTTCTTCTCTTGCACTTTTCGACAGTGGAACTCCCTTCCACTTACTTGCTTCCCTAATAACTACAATCTTCAAATATTCAAATGTAACGTCAATCAACATCTTCTGATGCCTTGATCCTGATCCCTGTCCTTCTCTTTATCCTTTCCTCAAACCACCCCTCTTTACTCTTATTCTCACTCTTTGTAACCCTTTGCGTGCTAGTGGCACTCCCACTTTGCTTGGGGTGAAATGCTTAAAAAAATAAAATCATTAAACACCAATATTTTTAAAAGAATTTGAAATTTTTTGTATGTGTATAAATATGTCGATTTTTGTAGATACGCATGATCATGCATGGCTTTATCAGAAAATAAGAGCAATAACTATAGTAAATTTAAAGCCAAAAAGTATGTAAAATTCCATAAAGCATTAGATTACAGAGAATGTTTTCTTAAAAATTTAAGATTACTGAGTACTTAAAAATTATATATAAAAGGCACTCATTCAGTTATTTCTTTAGAGCTAAATCCCCCATAGATCAACATTAGATAAACATCAATCTGTCAAACATATCAACAGCTTAAATAAACAGCTACTATTTTTAAAAAAAAATCATTTCTGTGATATTTTAAACTTAAAGTAAATAATAATTGTTTCACATCAGATTAATACTTTAAATCAATTTTAAGTTTCAGAAAATATATTTTATTTTTGGGAGATTTTTTAATAAAGAGAATTACGTTGCAATGAAAGATGATTCAAAAATGGCACTAATCAGCTATTTTAGCAAAAAAAAAAATTCTTTCCAGTCAATTTAAGCTTTTGAGATACAGTAAAGTATTTTGCTTATTTGAAATATTAAATTTAATCTATTAGCTTGAAATTAAAACTTAAAAATTCATTTTAAACCTTAGGTATTGCATTTTCTGTGGTGGTATCTAATTTAGTAGTTCAGTTCTAAAACTGAACACTTGGCCCTTCATGCATTGAAGTTGACCAGAGAGTTCACTATTTTACTAATTCTGTAGTGTTGCACATTGGACCAACACCTGGTTAGGTTTTGAGATTCTGTTTCTTGGGTGATTGCTATGGCATGATTGAAAAATGACCCCATTGAAAAATAACAGTTGTCGAAAAACAGTTGAAGGGGGTCATTCTGATTCATTCCTGTGCTTCAACAATGAGATGGGATGGCTGCTACTAGACTTTGGAAATGGAGAAGCAAAGAGTGTCAGATGGTGTTTATTTCTCATAGCAATGACTGGGACATCTGTCATGAACTGGCAAAGCGGTTCCTCTTTTATGGAACTTGAACCCTTTCCTTCTGCCAGCCTGATTAGGAAATGTCATAGAACCACAACTCTCAGCCCATACCAAAATATTTTAAAACTGATTGGTGATATATACAAAGGGGATGCCCCCAAGTGCTTTAAGATTATCCTTCCACTCTCAGCTTGTTTAATGAGCATAATTGTATATCACTATAATTTTCTTAGTGTTTATAAGGAATAATACTTTGTCATTTTTTAATTATTAGACATTAATCAATGTCACTCATTTAATAATTTGACATCTTTGCTATTTTAGAATTTCCGGGTTGTATACAGAGGAGAACGTCGAAAGAACAGAGAGGATTTCAGTTTACAAATGTATAAAGATGAAGTGAAGGTAAGTACATCTATAAATAAAAGTTATAGGTTTCAAGGTAATTGGTTTTGTATGTTGATGAATCCTGCTAATGAAGTTCAACAAACATTTTGTAATTTAGTCATTAAATGAACATAATAAAATGTAGCTTAATTTTCTGCAGAAGTCTAATAGTAACGATTCAATTCACTATACGGTAGTAGTCTTTAACTAGAATACCTTATTAACCATTAACTGACCCTGCACATAGTTTTGTAACAGAATTTCTTTTCTTCTTTCTTTCTCTCTTTTTCTCTTCTCTCTCTTTTCTTCTTTCTCTTTTCTCTTCTTTCTCTTTTCTTTTCTTCTTTCTCTTTTCTCTTCTTTCTCTTTTCTCTTCTTTCTCTTTTCTCTTCTTTCTCTTTTCTCTTCTCTCTCTTTTCTCTTCTCTCTCTTTTCTCTTCTCTCTCTTTTTCTCTTTTTCTTCTCTTTCTCTTTTTCTCTTCTTTGTCTTTTTCTTTTTGTCTTTTTCTCTTCTTTTCTTCTCTTCTTTCTCTTTTCTCTTCTTTTTTCTCTTCTTTTCTTCTCTTTCTCTTTTTCTCTTCTTTCTCTTCTTTTCTTCTTTCTCTATTCTCTTCTTTTCTTCTTTCTCTATTCTCTTCTTTTCTTTTTTCTCTTTTTCTCTTTTCTTTCTCTTTTTCTTTTTCTTTCTCTTTTTCTCTTTTCTTCTCTTTCTCCTTTTCTCTTTGTCTTTTTCTTCTCTTTGTCTTTTTCTCTTCTTTTCTTCTCTTCTTTCTCTTCTCTTCTTTCTCTTTTTCTCTCCTTTCTCTTTTCTTCTCTTCTTTCTCTTTTTTTCTTTTCTCTTTCTCTCTTCTTTGTCTTTTTCTTCTCTGTGTCTTTTTCTCTTGTTTTCTTCTCTTCTTCCTCTTTTTCTCTTCTTTCTCTTTTTCTCTTCTTTCTCTTTTTCTCTTCTTTCTCTTTTTCTTCTCCTTTCTTTTTCTCTTTTCCCCTCCCTTTTCTTTTTCTTTCTCCGCTATCCTCTTACTTTTTTTTTTAATGGTTATAAATGATGTAATTCTTTGCTATGACACCATTTCTGCAATATACTGTATTTGCCGGTCTATTAGACATACACAGATTTTGGCTTGGAATATTTAGGAGAAAAAAATGCACACATGAAAAAAAAAAATCAAAATTATAACCTTACCATTATGTGACATTCTCATTAACCATGAAGAAACACTTGCAGTATTAGCATGAATTATACTACTGGTACTTTTTTATTTAATAGAAGTGAGCTAAGGTTTAATTATACTACCAGTACTTTTTTATTTAATAGAAGTGAGCTAAGGTTTAATTACCAGTACATTTTTTTGGAAAAGAAGAAATTTAATACATTTCATCATGAATTTATTGAAAATTGTTTTTCAGGGAGCAAAATCTGCACATATAGTAAATTCATAACAGCTACAAAGAAATCTACTGGTATCAGTGAACACTGGTACATTTAGTAATAGACAAAAAAAACAGAAATATATTACTTGTTGGTAAATGAAATGTCATACATGAAGGAAAGCAAATTCCAATATCTGTATATCAGCAAAAACACACACAAAGCAAGCAGCAATATACCAGTCAAAGCAAATATTTCTGCAAAATCTGGTATTTCTACAAAACTAGCAGCAAAATATTGTGCAATTGCATAAATTTCTTTTTCTCGGGTGAATTTTTCAGGGATATTTTTCTTGATATCATGTTTATTCACTTCCACGGGTCCTAGTTTCAGAGCTAAGCTCTATGCGTGCACTGATTCCTGGTGAACCCCACTTTTATCATGGTCTTCATGATGATACTGCTGTTTTGGACACAAGGAAATAATTTGGTGCATCTTTTTGGAAAAAAATCTGCGTCCAATAGGCCATCAAATACAGTATTTTGTGGTATCAAAAAAAAAATGAAATTCTTTCTGATTTGTCTTTACAAATGAAACTATTTAAAAAATTTCTCATGAGCGTTTTGATTTTCCTGCTTCATTTATTTTTTTCTATATCATAAAGACGTTTTAAAAATATTAAATTCTAAATTTTATTTGCTGGCATCCATTTAAATTTCCATTTCATCTCATTGTCTAAACAAATAAAATAAACCGCAATGGGAAGTTATCTCCCCTTGATTTCCAAATAATATTTTTCAGAAGTGATTTTCAATGAACAATAATATAAAATTCAGCAGGTCACTTGTTTGTTTGGACAAAGTCTACTTTTGTAAACAGAATGTGCATATTTCAAACCTGAAAGAACTTTTTTTTCATTTCAAGTTTGCTTCTGCCAAAATTATTTTGTGTAAGCAATAAAAAGATCAGGAATAAATGTAATTAATTAAAAGAATGAACAGATAAAACTCTATTTAAAAGTATATATTTAATATCAAAGTCACCAGGTATCCTGACAGAGGGTTTGAGCATATTGGCCCTGTTCAAATTCAGTTTTCTTTCTTTTAAAATAAACATAAATAAATGAAATAAATGAAAATATACATTGAATTTGAATGAAATTGAAATGGACATCTTACAGCTAATTTCCCTTTCCATTTGGCAACAACCCCTGGATAACAGGAAAAGAGTAAAAGCAAATTGTGGGTCCTTTTGAAGTCATTTTTATGCCTTCTTCCATATTTAAACTGGACAAAACTGAACCTTCATGCTTACAAAATAAAACAGACTATCAAAAGGATGTTTTTTTCCATGACACTGCTATCATTTTAACTACCTTCACTCCTCAGCAATGTTTATTGTTTTAAAAAGTGACAATTAGAATTGTAAGAAAACTTAAACATATGAAAGTAAATTTATACATTTTCTTTCTTTTGTAACTAAACAATCTAATAAATAAATAGTCTTTAATATTTTTTGTAAGTTCTCAAGAACAAAAATGTATATATTCAGTTTCATCATATGTTTAGGTTTTATTCCATTTCTAATCACTGCTTTTTAAAACAATAAACTGAAGAGCAAAGATAGTTAATATAATAGTGGCAACAAGGGGAAAACCATTCTTTTTAGACTCCATTTTTTTTTTTTTTCTGTGGGTATAAAGATTGAAGTTTACCTTTTTAAATGGAATATATTTCTAGTAAACATCACACTTTAAATGGGTAAACATTTGAAAATTTGATCATTTTGCTACCAGCAATATAACTCTTCCTATGTTGTAAAAGTTGAGATTTTGAGTAATTTGTTATTTTATGTAACAGGATTGGATTGAACAGGAACGCACCGAACGCCTCTCAGTAATAAACCACATGGAAGAACTTTGCATTCGCCAACGTCCAAACACAAATCTTGTGCCATAATAAATATAGCGACCACAGAGCCAAACTTAGCAGATTCAATCACGTGATAATCAAAGACTCCAAAGACTTATTTATTTTACTGTATTCAGGTATGTTTTTGTTCTTTCTTGATTCTGGAAAGTCTTTCAAGAACTATGGTATTTTTGTAGATGCCTGTGACTTTGTATCTCTGCCACAAAGAGAAATCTTTTTTGTTCTTGTTTTTGACTGTGATCAAGAAATACATGTCAAAATAATCCCAGAGGAAAATGATGCAAGACACAGAAACTCCATAAAAGAAACCTTGTATTTTCTCATTCAAATAATCTTTATCTTTTTCCGCCAAGGCAACATTGTTTTGCATGCTAAAATATTGACAGCGCCCTTTGAAAACATTTTTTTGTCAGCATTGTCAATTTTTAAAGGTGTTTTGTCAATATACGATAAATTGAACTATCACCAATACATTTTTTTTTCATTTTTGCCCAACCCAGAAACTCTGTTATTACAATTTTTTCACAAAGCCAATTTAAATGTCCAACTTTTCATTCCTGCTTGTCTCAAAACAGAAATAATTGAAAAAACGAAAACGAAAGTGATACTTATATTCACTGCAGATTAAATCGAAAGAGCCATGATTTACTATTTTCACACAAGTTTTAGGCCACATGTATATTGAAATTTAATGTGTAATTGTAAATTTGAAGATACCTTAATTTTTTTCAAATTTTAACAAATTATATAAAGTCGCTGTTTAAACATTTAACATTACAAAAGTTATTTTTAAAGTATATTTTTTATCATAACATATTTATATAATTTACAATGATAAAATAAATTTCATATGCATAAATTATAATTTATTGTATAAGTTGAAAATAAAAATAATATGTTAATAAAACAAATGGTTTTCAATGCGTTAATAAATTAATTTATCATGTGTTCTTATTTCATATTCAGTCTCTAAATTAAAAATCAAATTCACATGAAATAATGTTTAGATATTAAATATAATATTTAATGTTATTAATGAATTTTATTTCCTTGATGTAACTGATTTGTTTTTATTTCTCTGAAAAATATCAAGAAATCAGTTGGAATTTTTCAAACCAGTGTTTCAGAAGATTTTACATTAACATTTTTGAGTAATGTGTTTTGTCCCTTAGATTTGATCGGATCAACGCAAACTTAGACCAATGAAGTCACAAGGGAAGAAATGCATTACACAAAAGTACAAAAGTTTTCCACTTTGTTATGCATGCATTCATGCATATATATATATATATATATATACACATTCACACACACTGAGGGGGGGGCGATAGATAAATTGTCATCTAAATAACACAAAAATGAAAATAACACTGTCATGTCATTTTAACAGATATATTTACCAAAATTACACAAAAATATCTTGAAATACTAAAGAGTAAATTTATTCAATAAAATCGCCAACAATGGCTTCATCCTCAACCTCCAGATGACTTTGGAATCTCCTGCATCTCTTGAGGATAGTTTCCTTGTTTAAGTTGGTGAATGCTGCCATAATTCTTGCCTTCAGTTCATCTTTGGTGTTACGTGGAGTTTTGTTGGTCATCTGCACTCACACATAATAATCAAAGGGGTGTTGCAGTCTGGGAAGTTTGGTGGCCCACTGTAAGGGGTAATGTAGTTGCAGAAATTGTCTGATAGCCATGACTGGGTTCTCCTGCTTGTGTGTCATGGTGCAGAGTCCTTTTGCCAGGCATAGGGCCACCTTATTGACCCGGGGCAGCACTAGCTCCTGAAAGCACTTGATGTAGGCCTCTGCGTTGACTCTGAGGCTCTCACCAACAAATTCAAAAGTTATTTTCTTATCAGAGCGATCAAAGTGAGTTTTCTGAGATGCTATACCTTCGTAATCACCATTAGACTCATCCAATTCTTTCTGAATCCTCTGCACTGTCCTTAGATTGACACCCAAGCAGCTTCCATTGGTTTTTGTTGAGATCTGGGAGAATAAATGAGAAGGAATTTTAGTTGCCAAAGTAGGGATTTATAAATTCATAAAGCTATTACTGTCTTATTTATTTGAATAAATCAGAATATTAGTTATAAGGGGCTCTATCATAGATTTCAAATCTAGATTTAAAAAAATGTAACAATAATAATTGTTGGGGCACATATAAATGTTAACATACACACACATATACACTGACTAGCCAGATTGATTAATTTGTTTTTTATGGCTTACCAACCTTTTGTGGGTTATTTAAAGCCAAATCATATTTTGGATTTTAAGAATAAATTTTTGGCAAGTGAATATTGCATTAAGATTTTTTTGGAAATAAAAATGATTTTTCCAGATACAAGTCCTACTATTTAACCTATTGTTGGAGGGAGGAGGTGGATTCATACCTTCTCCAAGGGTATTCTGACTGGAATTCAAACTTAGCTCTCCATTCTCATTCCAAGCCACTATCAAGTATGCCACTAGTATATGACTTGTCAGAAGTCATGGAATAGGTGCCTAGTATCATATAGGACTCTACTTCTTGCCCAGTGAAATACAAAACTTGGAACTGCATCGATCCCAAAGAGGTCAGAAGTTCTCTGGAGAGATGTTGAGCTATCTTGAACTGTCCACAATTCACCTGCTCCCTCCCACTATAAATACTTGATTGGGCTCATCTCAAGTAAATGTGATTGCTACACTATTTAGAATTCTCATGAAGCCAATTCTGGGCAACTTTGGCAACCG